AATGGAAAATATATCGAGGCCCTAACTTGCCTCTTTTCTGAAACCTGATGACTCTCTTCTATGGTGACAATTTTAGCTACACAAATTCCCCCACCTAGAACTCAAGATTCGATCGTCGCCAGTCAGCCTACCTTTTCTGATGGCTCCTTACGACTCACAACCGGTCACACACCTGCTGAATCAACCCGGTAGTCTTGAGCACTACTTCGATGCTCCCTATGGCATGGTGTCCAATCTCACCCCAATAAACCAGTGTCCTACATCTCCAACTATACAACATCTCAAACGGAGGTCAGTTAATAATGGCATGATAACTATTGTTGTATGAAAACTTTACTAATGGGAGGTATTTATCGCAATTACCTCCAAAATCCAACACGCATGCCTGAAGCATATCCTTGACTGTCTGGATTGTCCTATCGCTTTGGCCATCTGTCTGGGGGTGGTATGCCATGCGTAAATGCAATTGAGTGCCTAGTTCCTCTTGGAACTTCTTGTAGAATCTAGATGTGAATCGAATATCCTAATCGGATACTACTCACACTAGCACTCCGTGCGTAACCACCACTTATCGCACGTAAATATCTGTTAATTTCTCCATGGAGATGCTCTTGGAGATTTGAATAAAGTGAGCACTCTTCGTCAATCTACCCAAAATGACCCATATGGCATCCACAACCCTCGTTTTCATCGGGAACTTCGTGATGACATCCATAGTTATCTCTTCCCACTTTCACATCGGAATGGGTAGCAGTTGGACCTTTCCATGAGGTCGTTGATGCTCGGACTTTACATTCTAATAGGTCAAGAACCGCTCCACAAACTAGGTGATTTCCCACTTCATGCAAGGCCACCAGTAACTCAGTCTCAATTCTCTATACATTTTTGTAGCCCCTGGATGTATAGAGAACCTGGACTTGGTAGTGTATTTGTGGCTCAAGGCATCGACCACCACGTTGGCCTTCCCTGGATGGTATAAGATCTCGCAGTCATAATCTTTTAGTACATCCAACCACCTCCACTGTCACATGTTGAGGTTCTACTGATCCATAAAATACTTCAAACACTTGTGATCAGTATAAAAAGTGCACCGTACTCCATACAAGTAATGCCTCCAGATTTTGAGGGAAAGCACCACTGCCCCCAATTCCAGGTTATGAGTGGGGGAATTCACCTCGTGAGGCTTCAGCTGCCTTGAGGCATAAGCAATCACATGTCCCCTCTGCATCATTACCACCTCTAACCCTAAGATCGACGCATCGCAATACACTACCAAGTCATCTAGTCCCTCTGGTTGTACTAGAATCGGGGCCTCATATAAGCTCTGCCTTAAGGTCTGAAAAGCTAACTGTTGATCCGGACCCCATCGAAATGTCACATTCTTCTTGGTCAAGCGGGTCAGAGGCACCGCAATATTGGAGAAATCCTGGATGAATCTCAGATAGTACCCTGCTAAACCCAAGAAGATATGAATCTCAAATGCATTCTTCGATACGTCCCGCCACAGCACTGCCTCAACCTTGGCTTGATCAACCGAAATACCCTCCTGGTTGATGATGTGCCGCTAAAACGTCACCTCTTGCAGCCAGAAATCACACTTTGAGAACTTGACATACAACCTTTCCATTCTTAGTGTCTCAAATAACTCCCTTAGATGCTGCTGATGTTGCTCATTGGTCTTAGAATAGACCAGGATATCATCAATAAAAATGATCATCGACCGATCCAACATCGGTCTGTACACTCTGTTCATGAGATCCATGAACGTTGTTGGGGCATTGGTGAGCCCAAATGGTAGCACCACAAACTCATAGTTCCCATACCGAGTCTTGAAAGTCGTCTTTGATATATCCTCATCTCGAATCCTCATCTGATGGTACCCTAACCGAAGACCAATCTTGGAAAACCAAGATGCACCCTGTAGCTGATTGAATTGATCATTGATCATTAGAAGCGGATAATGGTTTTTCACCGTCAACTTGTTCAGCTCTGGATAATCAATACACATCTTATGAGATCTGTTCTTCTTTTTCACGAACAGGATTGGTGCTCCCTATAGGGAACTACTCAGATGGATAAACCCTCGGTCTAGCAGCTCCTGAAGCTACGTAGATAGCTCATGCATGTCGGGCGAAGCTAGCTGGTACGATGCTTTAGCTATCAAAGCAACACCTAGTACCAGATTAATCCGAAACTCTACCTGCCTCTCTGGAGGCACCCCTGGCAACTCTTCGGGAAAGACAACCTGTAAATCTCATACAACTAGCAGACTACCCAAATCCGTCGTAGGCTCAAACCTCGTATCTGAGATGTACGCCAAAATCCCGAACAACCCTAATGGAGAAGCCTCCTAGCTCTCGCAGCTAAATAGAGGGTTGACCCCTACGAGGCCTTTCTCCATGAATAACTAGTTCTCCCCCTCTTGGGTTGAAAACCCTATGTACTCACAAGGTTTCCCAACCTGACAGACTTAGTTTATTTATATCACAGGTATCGATGCAACAATATATTATACTGATATATTAAAGGAGATGTAGATCATTAGTATAAATTAATATAAGGTATGTTTATTCTTATGTTTTGTATTAGTTATGACATCTCAAGTCTTGAAAGAATATCAATATTCAATGTTTCTTCTATAATGTTTAATGTTAATATTATTTCACATTGAAATAATATTTTTCAGACCAATTGCACAATAAAAGAAATACTCTGTTTTAAAATAAGCATAAATAATTTTTTTTAAATGACCATAAATTTATGGATATCACATAATCTAACCTTAGAGCATCTCCAATGGGAGCTTATTTTTGGGGATATCACACAATCTGTATCATGTATCATCTTCTTCACAAGTCAATAAATGTTGCCGCCATTGAGACTCTCAACCTCTCCAACTTCTAAGACATCGACCGTCTAAGCATCTACAGGCTTTGATTTACCTCTATATATTTGCTTACTTATAATTCCACACTTGAGTTGTTCTTTCCTCTATTGTTTTCTGTCTCGTTCGATTTCTTTAGATATAATGGTATAAAGAAGAGTATAATCGAGAAAAGTATAGCGTGCTCTCTGATACGTGTGTATATAATGTGGCTACAATATTATTAGTTTTTGAATATTTTTTACTATATGCCTAGATCATTAATAAGTCACACCGTAATGTGCTTACAAAATAGGTTTTAACTGTTAGGCCTAATGCTAGAATTTGATATAGATAGCTTTTATTCTTCTTTTTTTACATTTGTTTTATTGTTTACTTGTCTAATTAGGTTTTTAGGATATAAATAAAATTATTATTAAAAATAAACAAAAAATATTAAGTTTTATGAAAATCCAAAAAAAATAATTTAGATAAAACTTAATTGGTTATATTTAGTTAATTCAAGTTAAATAAAACTGTTATATGACTAATTCATTAACAAAAAGTATAACGTTTCATATATATATATATATATATATATATATATATATATATATATATATATATATATATATGTATATATATATATATATATATATATATATATATATATATATATATATATATATATAGAGAGAGAGAGAGAGAGAGTTATGTTCAAATGTTTATAACAACAAGTATGTGCATGTATATATGCACCAATCACAATAAAACAAATTATTAATTATGTTATTTATTACTTGAGGGTAATTATGTAATCTTTCATTTTATTTCTTTTATTAGTCTGATTCTTATCCCTTTATATTAGGCAATGATTTATGAATGATTTAGTTGTCATTAATTTAATTTTATTTATATAGTCGATGCAAACGTCCCCCCATCACAGATCACAATTGTCGATTCCATTAGCTCCTTATCAATTTGTTTTACACAATTGATGGATGTTCATACTAGAAATCGGAACCAGGTATTCATATATTATTAACAACATCTCTATATGATGATGAAGATGTTTTTCAAACGTCCCTCACACACCCTTTTACTGTTCTTACATATAAATATGTATCAAATCTGATAATCTTTCAGGAAAACGAAGATCAAAATCCCAGGAAGGATCTGGCTAATGTCAATGATCTTTAGAATCCGGTGAATGAAGTTGTTAAGAAAAAAGAAGATGTAAAAAATACTTTGGAATTGGTCTTGATAGCAGGAACTGTCCGTTTGGATTGAAGAAAGCATAGAACTACAAGAAATTCATAAATTAATTTTCAGTTCAATTTAATAAAATTATCGTTAGGTGTGTTCCTTTAATTATTATGTTTACATCTAATAATATGTCTATGGTTTTCTGGTATTTTTATGTTTGTATGATCATACAGTTTATCATTCGAACAGAATATCAGAGTAAAACTCTACATTTCTCATTCCAACATAATGTTAAAAAAATAATGTTCATTATATTTCATAAAAAATGTATGATGTTTCATAAAATTAAAACACATAATATCAAAAAAATAAATATTGTAAAAAATGAGCAATACAAATAATTGAACTTAAACCGTTTAAGAGTTAATTTTCTTCAGCAACATATTACTATAATATTCTAGTAGATTGATTTGGATATTACACACAGTAAACATTTTTGTTAGTCGTATATTGTTATATAATTCTTTCAGAATGATATTCAATGTGTGCATTGATTCGAGGTAACACAAATTGATATGTTCTATAAGTCATTTTGGTAGAATATTCTGATAGAATTATGTCATTCTGATAATATGCAGAGTTTTAGAATTATGTCGTTAATAAAATATTGTAAAGTAATTAATTTAATGGTGATGTTGAAATTTTTTATATTTAGAATGTGATTATAGTATCTTATGAATATTTTTATCTTTATCATGTTCTAAAAAAGAATCAAATCGGAATCATTTATTTTTATCAGTGATCCCTAATATCAAGCATTTTAATTTACGTAGAATCCGTTTTCATCCCTATTTATTTTGTATGACACTTTATAATATTTTATTTTTTCAACTTCCAAAGCATATATAAACAGTATTGGAATATCTTAGCTATGGGCAATCAAGAATCAAATGTCAATAATCATATTTATGAGGAACATTATTTGGCTAGTGATGATGACATTGGAATTGAAGATTTCGATTTTCCTGATAATGATACACTATATGATGGTGGTTTTCAAACAAGAGAAAGCAGTAATCCAAATTTAGGTGAGTTTTTGAATATATTGTTTAATTTTTCATTGTATTTCAGATTATATATTGTAACAAACAAGTTGAATGTTAAATATTAATATTTTCATCGATGAACATACAGAGGACTCAAATCAGGCAGAAGACGAAAATCAATTCGTTGATGAAGATACAGAGGTTAATATTGATTTCAGTGAAGGCACTAAATTCAATTGAGGATATTGAAATTTTTACCGGAAAAATAAAATTATTTCAGAATAATATTTATATAATTCTTTCAGAATAATTTTGTATTTTCTATGTTTAAACAGAAGAACCACATGTTACACATGATTATGTTTCTCCTGGTGGCACATTGAATTGGACCCCGATTGTTGAAGACGATATCAAACCAAAAGTTACATCATAATTCAATTCATATGGTGAAGCAGTAACAATGTATAGAAACTATGCATTAGAATCTGGTTTTGATGTAAGGCTTGGAAGAGTACAAAAAACAAAAAATGGGATTATTACAAATAAACATCTTGTATCCAATCGGGAAGGTAATCCAAATACTAATAAAGTAGATACTCTAGAAATTCAGCATAAAAAGACTCAAAGAAGGAAAGATTTATTTAGGAGGAATTGTAAAGCGAAAGTTGTTTTAGAAATAATTCCTGGTACTCTTAGATATGTTGTGACTAATTTTCTCGAGCAACATAATCACGAGTTGTTTAGCAAGAGCAATATGTACTTATCTCGTTCAAAGAGAAAACTTGATTATTCCCAGGAAATGTTCGTTCATAATTTGTCAAAACAAAATATTAGTCTTGTAAAAGCACATAGACTGTATAGTGCTCTTAGGGTCGGTCCTTCGGTTCGAGGTGGATTAGTTTCTGATTTCAAGAATGCTAAGAGAAATCTTAATTGTTACATAGGTGGGAGGGACGCGAAATTCCTTGTTGACAAGATGAATGAAAGGACGAAAAATGTCCCGTCATTTACTTTTCAGTATAAAGTGTTGAACAAAAGATTGAATACTCTAATATGGGCTGACGAAACAGCAAAGTATAACTACAATTCATTCGGAGACGTTTTATCACTCGATGCCACATTCAGCATGAATAAGTATTTTTAACCTTTAATACTTTTACAATAACAATTTCATTGTTTTCAGTTATATAAATTAATATTTTATTTTTAAAATAGGTATGATATGGTTTTTGTTCCATTCACTTGCATCGATAACCACAAAAATGTGTAACATTTGGTGCTGTACTTTTAAGTAAAGAAGATGGAGTTTCTTATGAATGGTTGCTTAGAGCTTTTTTGAAAGATTTTAGAAAACAACCTCAATTGGTTATATCTGACCAAGATGAAGCTTTGAAAAAAGCTATAGATAACGTTTTCCCGTTGGCACATCATAGGTTATGTATGTGGCATATAACAAAGAAGTTGCCAAATAAGGTATGCATCAAACGAATTGTATTCTTATTTTACGTTATGATTATACAATTATTTTTCTCATATTCTAATATAATCGTTTGCTTTAACTGTTAAACTGTACTCATCCTCATGAAATTTCATTGTATACAAATTTTATCAATTGAAGATGCAGCCACCAATCAAAAATTTCGAAAGTGTTTTCACTCTGTAATTTGGATTCTAAGCTGGAACAACATGAATTTGAGAATGTATGGAGTATGCTGTTGGATGAGTTTAAAATTACAGATAACATTTGGCTGAATACTATGTATGGTTTGAGAAGATGTTGGATCCCCTTATTTTTCAAGCACATTCCAATGTCTGGTCTTATGCAAACTACATCATTGTCTGAAAGTCAGAATTGGTCATTTCAAACCACCACATTAACGGTTCTTATCTTATCATGTTTATGATGACATTTGAATCAGTCATGGAACGACAAAGACATAACCAAATTCTAAATGATTTTAATACTGCCACCACTTTTCCTAAATTCATTACCCGTAGTCCGAATGAACCTCATGCTTCAAAGGTATACACGCGCAAGATTTTTTATCAGGTTTAGAAAGAGATATCAAGAGCTGAAGATAATTATTTCCAAAAAAAAATGTGATATCTTCCAACAGTGTTGACAAAATTATTGTTTTGGAGAAAAAAACAACATAACTACTAGGAACACAAATGATGTCGATGTGGATGATAAAGATGAGGAATACAATTATGATTGTCTTATAAGGGATACTGAATACACGGTATATTTTTTTCACTTTAATTGTCATTCTATCATTCGAATTTAAACACTAAAAAGTTACAACATAAAGATACTCACTAATCAGCTTATATATTCCAGGTTACATACTCAACCAAAGATGGTTCATTCAAATGTACTTGTATGCATTTTGAACATGTAGGGATCTTATGTAGACACATATTCTGTGTATTTAAGTTTTATGGCGTTGAACAAATTCCTGAAAATACATCTTGAAACGTTGGCGTAGGGATGTTATTCCAACAGAATTGCTGAAAAGACACTTCAATAGCTCTTTTGACGATTCTAATTCCGACATGATTGCTATTGATATTTTTTCAACTGTTGACCGTTGTGTGTCTTTTTTAAGCCATTATGCAGCTAAGTTAAAGTTATACCTAGACGAGCAGAATCAATTGAAAAAAAAAAATTCGTAGACGATTGTCCAACTCATGATCTACCGAATAGAGCAGAACAGTTCAAGAAGCTTCTAGGCATAGTATGTCCTGATGTAGTTTCTGACGTTAGCGACATTCAGAATCCTACATATATTCCTAACAAAGGATCTGATAGTCATGGGAAAAGATTAAAATCCACAAAAGAGATGATTCAGAAATAAATCTCGAAAGCTAAGAGAAAGTGTGCTACATGTCAACAGATGGTTCATCATGACAAAAGAAATTGTTATTTAAAAAACGCTGAGAAATAATTTACTTGCTTGGTTTTCATTGGTTTTAGTTGAAGGACATTTCATTTTAATTTTGTTGGTTTCACATTCAATTTTATCTTTTATTTCGTTTAATAAAGTATTCACCTTCTTTTATTTCGTTTAATAAAGTATTTACCTTCAACCGATCACTTGTATATTTTCATTATTTTCCTTACTTACAGCAAGTTATACAACTTTTTTCAAACATTTTAAGATTGATTTTCATTTTCACAAAAAATGCTTTATTTTTAAATTCTAGAATACAAACAATGTGTACAATTTATATACAAGTATTCATTATATCATATTTTCTTTCAAAAAGAATATATACTACGTAAACAGATTCATTCCAAAAGAATTTTATATCTAAACCTACATTTACCATCTACATCCAACTAACATACAAGTATAACATATTCTGATAGAATAATAACAATATAAACTAATCTATCTGCATAAAAAAAATTGCAATAACAGACCAGGCTGACAACATTAGATGCCAATGAATTTGACTTCATATTCCTAAAACATAAAACATTCAAAAAGAATTTTAGATTTTTATTTTATATGCATTATACATTTACCCACACATACTTAATTTCAAAACGGGCACATTATACCTAAATATACATTTCTCATTGACATCCAATTAATATAAAATAAAATAAATATAACATATTCTGCCAAAATCATAACATTTTCTATATTATATCAGCATAAAAAAAACTATTAAAAACAGTCCAGTCACACAAAATTATTAACAACAACCTTGAATTATATTAACAACATTATTACAAAAAATACATCAACACATCCACTATCAACAACAACCTTTCATTATATTTAAAAATTCTTCTTAATTTTATTCTAAATTTTATTCATAAGCAGCCCATCAAAAACTCATTATTAAACTACTTCCCATTCAACCAGATTTGCTTTTCACACAGCACAACATCATCATCCCAAAATTTAAACAATGCATCTACACAACCCTAATATCAAAATTAATAATCCATTACAAGACAAAGTACCTTTTCAAACATCTAACATAATGCAGAATCCTATTTGAACAACCACAAAATAGAAAGTTCAGCTAATGCATTGTCACTAGTTATATTAAAAAAACCAAACTACCACTTCTAATTCTTACCTACGACACCTTGTTTTCCTTTTTTTCTTCCTATTTTCAACTGAATGTTGAAGAAGCATATTTTGTTCCAAAATATCCAGCTTACAAAACGCTTCAAAGTCTTTAACTATCATAGTCTTAAACTTATTGAACTCAACGATGAACAATCTTGCCATGTATTTTGTCTTTAACTTAATTATAGCATTCGCATCACCACACATTTTACCTGTAAGACCACACTCCCAACATCCGTCATTTTCCCCCATGTAACTTTCCATGTGCCTCATCAGGTAGACTACACATTTTGTCATAGCTTTTTCATACCACAATGGTTGTATCGAAGAAAAATCTTGAAAGCGATGATTCATCCTTGTAGTTCTCCATTTCATTCAAAAACGCAACCTAACAATCAATTACTGTAACACCGTAAATTTCAAGACAAAATTTTCGTTTAAAATAATCATTTTAATATTAAAACACCTGTTTAAAATCTCATTCATAATTGAATTACAAAACATAGTTCATTTTCACTTGAATAGAAAACCAGGATCCTCCAAAACATAACTCTTTCTCTGGTGTGTACAATCGAGCCGGTGCCGTCCTGTGTTACTGAAAGAACCTGAAAACAACATAACACGAAACACTGTAAGCACGAAGCCTAGTGAGTTCCCCAATATACAACTTACGCACATACGCCTTTCCAGGCCCTGACCTTCCGGTCCACTACACAACGCCTTCCGGCCCATGAGATAAACGCCTTCCGGCCCATAGCACATTGCCTTCCGGCCCATAACGTATTGCCTTCCGGCCCATAAACATACACAGCACATAATACACTTAACTTACCACATATAGCACGTATATCATATTTCATATCCGACCTTCCGGTCACATAACATATTGCCTTCCGGCCCATATAAACATACATAGCACGCATAGCAATTATCTTACCATTTATAGCACGTATAACACATATCATATCCGACCTTCCGGTCACACAGTCAAACCCTTCCGGGTACAGTATAGTGAGAAGACTCACCTCGCGGATACTGAAAGTTAGCAACTCCTGAAATCCCTCGTACTTGATCCGCCGAGCTACAAGCTCCCTATAACATCATATATCTCTTATTAATACTTTTATCTTCCACGTTAACTGACCCTAA